TTCCTTTTAAATAACAAAAAAGAAAACTATTAATCCTTTTCTAATGCTTCATTTCATGACCTGTGGGATTTTGCCAGATGCAGCAATATTGAAAGATTCTATGTGCAAAATATGGAATAATGCAGGAAACATCAAAAGAAGATGGAAGCAATACAGAGTCACTGTACCAAAAGGAAATGGTCAATGTTCATCCATTTCAGGAGGTGGCATATGATCAAGAACCAATGCTACTGAAGGAAGAAGTTGAAGCTACACTGGAGGAATTGGTGAAGAACAAGGGTCCGGGAATTGACAGAATACCCACTGAGATGTTTCAACAAATGGATGCCACACAGTAGGCACTCACTCATCTATGCCAATAAATTTGGAAGACAGCTTCCTGGCCAACTGACTGGAGAAGACCCATATATGTACCCATTCCAAAGAAAGCTGATTGCACAGAATCTGGAAATTATTGAACAATATCATTAATATCACATGCAAGTGAAAGCTTACTGAAGATAATTCAAAAATGGCTGCAGCAGTATATTGACAGAGAACTTCCAGAAATGCAAGCAGGATTCAAAAGAAGTGGAACAAGGGATATCATTGCTGATGTTAGATGTATGTTGGCTGAAAGCAAGGAATAACAGAAAGATGTTCATCTTTGTTTTATTGACTATGCAAAGACATTCAATTGTGTGGATCATAACAAATTATGGATAACACTGAGAAGAATGGGAATTCCAGAACACTTAATTGTACTCCTGAGGAAACTGTACATAAACCAGGAGGCTGTCATTCAAACAGAACTAAGAGATACTGCATGGTTTAAAATCAAGAAGGGAGTGAGTCAGGGTTGTATCCTTTCACTATACTTATTTAATCTGTATGCTGAGCGAATAATCTGAGAAGATGGACTATATGAAGAAGAAAGTGCCATCAGGATTGGAGGAAAACTCATTAACAACCTGAAATATGTAGATGACACAACTTGGCTTGCTGAAAGTGAGGATGACTTGAAGCACTTACTGATGAAGATTAAAGACTACAGTCTGCAATATGGATTTCAACTTAATGTAAAGAAAATGAAAAACCTCACAACAGGACCAATAAGCAGCATCATGATAAATGGAGAAAAGATTGAAGTTGTCAATAATTTCATATTACTTGTTTCCACTATCAACACTAATGGAAGCAGAAGTTAAGACAGCAGATGATG